TCTCTCTCTCTCTCCCTCTCTCTCTCTCTCTCTCCCTCTCTCCTTCTTTCTCTCCCTCCTCCCGGGAGCGCGCTATCTCACCAGAAAATCCACACTCAATCTCTCTCCAGAGCTTCCTGGGGCCGGGCTCTCCCTTCCCTGCGCTCCTCCTTCCTCACCTCCCTCCTCTGTTCTCTCTCGTCTCTCCTCCCACCCCTTCTTTCTCCACTCCTCCCTCCCCTCCTCTCCTCCCTCTCCCGCTCCTGGGTCTGCAGGCTCTCAGTCCGAGGTGTCTCCCTAACTGCCCAGGCCGCCCCCGTTCTCTGCGCTCCCTCCCTCCCTCCGGGGCCCCTAGGCTGGAGCCTCTGGAGCTGCGGGAGAGCTCTGTCCGCGCTGCGGCGGCTTCGCCAAGCCTTGGCAGCTACTCTCGTTAGGGAGAAGCGAGACGGAGGTGAGGCGAGGAAGAGGCAGAGGCAGGGCTCTCTGAGCCCAACGTCAGAGCCCAATGTCAGAGACAAAGAGAGCCCCCAGCTCGCCGCCTCAGCCGCGGTCGGCCCCCGGGTCGCTCTGTCGCGACCACCGCCTCCCCAAACTCCTGCCTGCCGCGGGCAGCCAGTCACGCTGTGCAGACAACCCCGAACTGGCTGCCGGCGGAGTGCGGGGGCGGCGGAGCGGGGAAGATGAGCAGGGGAGGAGAGGAGAGGAAGACTTCAGGCACACCCTCCTCGGGGAACCGCTACCTGGCACTGCAGTCCCAGGGGAGGTCCCGACCCACGACCTGGCCGGGGAGAGTCACATGCCAGAAAAGGAAACTAAGGCAGATGCTGCGCCCCGCCCGCCCCCTCGTCCAGTCCGAGCCCCCAGAACCTGCAGCTCCCCAGCGTGCTCTGTGGGCCCAGCCCCTGCTCAGCAACGCTCGGTTTCTAAGTGGGGGTCCCTTGGTCCCTGGGACTGACCAGCTCTTCCTCAAGGGATTTTCGGGTTTCCCAGGCGAGGTTAGGGCAGGGAATCCAGCGGATCCCACGGGCCGGCTTCCCAAGCTGCTTTTTTTTAAGGATCTGCGGCTCTCGCAGTAAGTCGTTATCACTAGAGAGGCCCCGGATTCCTGATCTGCAGGATTGGGAAGAAAACTCTCTCCCCTGGTCCGGAGAAATCGTAACGACGTCAGAGAGAACCACTGGAAATGGTTTAAAACGGAGGAATTTGGGAGGAATGAAAGGGGAGTGAGGGGCGGACAGGGCTTAATCAGGCCCCCAGAGCTGGCGGGGTGGAGTGGTGGCTGTGGGGTGTAGGTGCGCCCGAGCAATGTGGTCCGGTCTTCCCTGAGCGACTGGCTACGGTCGGATTAGGAGTGCGGGCTGGTCCTATTTCCGGATCTCAAGGAGTCTCTTGCGGTGACCCTGAGCTGTTCACCCCAAGTGAGGAAGATGACTTCCTTTCATCCTCTTGTAGAGAGCTTTCCCTGGGTCTCTGAGCGGAGATGTGCAGGAGTAGGGTGAGTCAGATGTGTAGATATGAATGTGTGTATGGGGGTGGGGTGGTGAATACCAGATATCCGAAAATAGCCCCCCATCTGACCCCCCCAGCTATCTCTCCTGCAGTCGGTGTCCACTCCAGCCCGGACCTCCCCTACAGTTTCTTCCCCTGATCATCCCCATTGCTGTCTCGGAAACAGCAACTATTCTGTTCCCTAATTGCAACTCAGGCTTTTCTACCTGGGAAGACAGAGCCCGCAAGGATTTAATTAGCTGGAACTGGCTTAGCCGGGAAGCAGCTTTCTGGACCCTTCTGAATCTGCAAGTCAGCTGATGGTTTGAAATGGAGCAAGTGCTGTTTCTGGGCCATTGGGATGGAAATAGGCCTCAGAGTATGGGCCTCGTCCAGTCTCTGGCCTCAGGCTCTTGTTCTGATTAACCTTAGGAGAGGTCAACCATTGTGGAGAGCACAGTTTCCTGTTAGACGATTTGGCTGGCATTTTGTTAAGTGATTGCTACGTACCAGGCACTGTACTAGGCACAAAGGGATACAAAGAAACAAGTAAACTTTTCCTCCTCTCAAGGAGCTTACTTTCGACCTGGGTGGGGTGGGGGATGGCTGGCAGTGTTAGGTGGCATAGTAAAAAGACACCTGGCTCTGGATCCAGAGGACCTGAGTTCAAATTTCACTTTTGACACTAACTACATGTGTGACCTTGGACAAGTCACTTAAACTTAATAGACCTAGGTTTTCTCATCTATAAAATGAGGGGGATTTAAACTGTTGGTCTTTGAGGTAGCTTCCAACTTCAGATCTCTGGGAGAAGGGAAGGGAACAAGCATTTAGTAATAATAACACACTTAAAATTGTGTTGCACTCCCTTTTTTTTTAATTTTGAAAGCTGGTTGTTAAATATTTACCAGCACACTACTATTTCCCTTTTCAATAAGCATCCCCATCATGTAAGTCTTCTTCTAATCCTTATGTCAACGTATATGTGACCCTGGGCTCTCAAAGGCTATGCCAGTACATCCTCCCATGCTGTAAGGGTTTCAAGTATAAACTATGTAAAATACTTTTTTTTTTTCTCTTGGAACCAGTTGAGTAGAGTTTGAAGAGGCTTACAACCTGGACGTTTGGCCACTGGACCAAAGCTGGACCAAACCTCCTCAGGTGCCATCTTATGGTATCATAGATCACAGTCATGGACCTGGAAGGGAATTTAGAAGTCATCTAGTCCAGTCCCACCATTTTACAGATGAGGAAACTTGGGCATAGAGAAGTCAGAGCCTTGCTCAGGGTCATATAGCTGGGAAATGTTTCAGGCAGGTCTTCCAGACTCCATCCACTCCACCATGCTGCCTCTCCCCATACTACGCCACCTTTCTCAAGAGTCCAACTCATCCATGGAAAAGAGAAGGGAATACACATTTAGTAAGCATCTACTATGTGCCAGGGATGGTGCTGAGTACTTTGCAATTCTTATCGCACTTGATCCTCTACAACATACACTACAAGTGGTCATTGTTTGATGTCTACCATTGTTGAGGGACAACCCATTACTTCCTAAGGCAGCTCATTCCTTTTGTGGATCATTCTCATTGATAGGAAATTCTTTCCTTACATCAAGCTTAAACATATCTCTTTGCAAATTTTTAGTTCAATTCAACAACATTTTAAAGCACATTTAAAGCATTTTAAAACTTTCTGTACAAAGAAATCTGTTAGGCACCGGGGATCCAAAGACAATGAAGAAGCTGCTTGTCCTCAATGAGCTTACATTCTACTGGGGAGATACATGTGTACAAATAAGTACAAAGGATGTCTAGAGGGAGAAAGTATAAATTTTTAAGTGCTAGAAGAATTTCAAAGTATTCATAATCATATGAAAGAATGCTCTGAATTGCTAATAATAAGAGAAAGGCAAATCAAAACAATCATGAAGTTTTACCTGACACCCAGTATATTAGCAAAAGTGGGAATAATTGATATTGGAGGGGTTGTGGGCACACAGGTACATTGTCGGTGGAGCTGTGAATGAGTACTGTATAACCATTTTAGAGAGCAGTTTAGAGTTATGCAAATAAGTGACTAATATGTCCACACCCTTTGACCCAGAGCTTTTAAGTGGGCTTAAGCTCCCAGGAGGTCATCAATAAGAAGACCCCATATACACCGAAATATTTTTGTGGTAGCAAAGGAAACAAAGTAGATACCCCTCAATTGGTGAAAGGCTAAACAAATTGTGTGGTCCATGAATGTAATGGATTATCAATGATCTGTGAGAAATGATCAGTATGATGAAAGCCAAAAACCAAGCAAAGTTTACATGATCTGATTTGGATTGAATTAAGCTAAGTCAAGAAAACAGTACACACAATGACTCCAACAATGGAAACTGGAAGAAAAATCACAAAACAATCCAAAGTGAATGTTGCAGAATTACAAAGAACAAGCCTGACCCCAAAGAAGAGAGGGGAGAAGTCACCCCTCCATTGCTCTGAAGTCCATGCATCAGGGACATTGCATATATTTTCAGGCTTTCTCAATGTAGTGATCAACTTTGCTCCTTTTTTCTCTTCTGCCTCTTTTTTCTTTGAAAAATATTATTTGTTATATGAGATGACTTTTTTTGGAGGGGGAGAGGAGGGATGCAGGTAGAAATTCTGGTAATATAAAAACAAAAGATATGAATAGGAACTTCTTTGCAAGTACATTTGTGAACAGAGAGCTGGCTTTGAGGTTGGGCAGACCTGGGTTTGAATCTGGCCTCTGATACGGCCTGCCTGCAGAGTCTGGGACAACTCATTTAGCCTCATGGTGCCTGAGGCAGCTCTCTAAGCCTATGAGGAGCAGAAAAAATGCTGACTTACTTGGTAGAGGGAATTTCCTCATTTAGCCATTTCCTATGTCAATGAAATTGCAGGTCAGATCTCTATTCTCATTTACAAAACATACATCTTCTTGCTCACTAATTCTCCCACTTGAATGTACTCAAACACAGGTGGTGCAGAGAACACGGGCTCTGGTTTTGGGCCATCTGGGTTGGGGAGAGTGCGTTGATACAGCCACCAGACCTAAACAA